GTATTTCTTAAAACTCTCACTCCTCCTAGCCATAGGCTACATGGGCTGCTACACATACAGGAACCTCCAACTCTTGGCTTGAGTGATTCTCTTGCCTCAGCCTCCCAAGTAGCTGGAACTAAAGGTGCCTGCTACAATACTCGGCTATGTTTTAGTTGTAGCTGTCATTGTTTAGCAGGCCTGGGCTGGATTCGGACTGGCGCCTTAGCTGCTTGAGCTAGAGGCACTGAGCCAGGATAGTTGTCTATTGAATAAAATTTTGGTTACTTACTGCATAGCAGTTTTTGTATTGTGTTAATTCTTTTTTTACTTGGAATTTTGCTTTTATGTTAACTTTTATAATGTCAAATTATTTCTTCTTTTTTTTTGAGACAGAGTCTCAAGCTGTCACCCTGGATAGAGTGCTGTGGAGTCATAGCTCACAGCAACCTTTAACTCTTGGGCTCAAGAGTTCTCTTGCCTCAGTTTTTCTATTTTTAGTAGAGACGGAGGTCTCACTTTTGCTCAGGCTGGTCTCAAACTCCTGAACTCCAGCAATCCACCTGCCTTGGCCTCCCAGAGTGTTAGGATTACAGGCACGAGCCACTGTGCCTGGCTAATTTCTTGCTTTTAAAATCATTTAAGATCCTTCTGAGTTTAAAAAGAAAAAAAGACAGGGCTGGGTGCAGTGGCTCAGGCCTGTAATCCTAGCAATCTGGGAGGCTGACGGGGGTGGATTGCTTAAGCTTACAGGTTTGAGACCAGCCTGAGCCAGGGTAAGACCTCATCTCTAAAAATAGCTAGGCGTCATGGCGGGGCCTCTAGTCCCATCTACTTGGGAGGCTTAGGCAAGAGGATTGCTTGCACCCAAGAGTTTGAGGTTTCTGTGAGCTATGATGCCATGGCACTCTACCTAGGGTGACAAAGTGAAACTGTCTCAAAAGGAAAGAAAAACCTAAAGAAACCCTAAAAGGAATTGATTTCTTTATTCTTAGGCATAGTTAACACATTTTGAAAACATTTTGCAGTTCTTAAAAAATAACTTAATCACAACGATCACATATTCAAGTAAGGTCTTCTGATAAAAAGCAAATGTATTTTTTCTAGTTCTAATCTCCTTTTTTGTGGCAAATATTTAATGAGTTTTATTCTGGATTCTGGTAGTTTTTCCCCATACTGTTAGATAACATGCTTACGCTATTGTTCCCTGATTTTCAACATTAAATGTTGTCTAGTAACTTATTCTTGTCGTTTCTTTTTCCAGCAGTTAGCTTGCTTTCTTTGTGTGTTTTTTTTTTTCTTTTTTTGAGACAGAGTCTCAAGCTGTCACCCTGGGTGGAGTGCTGTGGCGTCATAGCTCACAGCAACCTCCAACTCTTGGGCTTAAGCAATCCTCTTGCCTCAGTTTTTCTATTTTTAGTAGAGACAGGGCATCACTTTTGCTCAGGCTGGTCTTGAACTCCTGAGCTCAAGCTATCCACCTGCCTTGGCCTCCCAGGTTGCTAGGATTAAAACAGGTGTGAGCCACCACAACTGGCCAGCACTAGCTAGCTTTCTTCTCTCAATATAGTTATACCACTGGTTTCAGTTTCCCCATCATTTACCTTGACGCTTTCAACACACAACATGTTTAAATATTCTCCGTGGAAAGTTTTAGAATTAAGCTTGCTTGGCAGATGGCAGTGTAGTGCGGCATATCCATTCTGGTAGGTGTTTAAGTTGAAGTAGGTGGTTAAGAGAGATTGCAGTAGCTGCATAGAGTGTAGTGTGATAGCTTAATAGTATTTCCCTGGGGATCTTTTAGGCGTTCACCTTACGTTTAGTATTGGTAAGGCCCAGGTCGTCTTGTAATCCTCACACTAAGCTGTTGTCGTTTCTGTCCCTTGTGTGTTCTTTCTGTGGCTAGCATCCTTTTAACTTTGCTTAGTTTTTTTCTGTTTGTGTGTCTTTTACCTATACTCCTGTTCTTTAATACTCCTTTTTTTTTTTTGAGACAGAGTCTCAAGCTGTCACCCTAGGTAGAGTGCCATGGTGTCATAGCTCACAGCAACCTCAAACTCTTGGGCTCAAGCAATTCTCTTGCCTCAGCCTCCCAAGTAGCTGGGACTACACGTGTCCACCACAACACCCAGCTATTTTTTTGTTGTAGTTGTCATTGTTGTTTGACAGGCCCTGGGCTGGGTTTGAACCCACCAGCGCTGGTGTATGTGGCTGGTGCCCTAGCCACTGAGCTATAGGTGACAAGCCTAATACTCCTATTTTAATTTGTCAGTTTGTGTGCCTTTTGTTGACCTAAACTCTTTCCCATTTCCTTATTATTTGGCTTTCTGGGACAAAATGAGAATTTTCACTTTTTTCTCCAAGATTTAAAAAATCTTCAAATCACATATGCTTGTTGGTAAAATCTCATATTCAGGAATGAGGTCTGTAAGTAGTTTGGTGTTTATTCTTTTAGTTTACTTTCTCTGCATTTCAGGTATTTTATAATGATATATGGCTTTTTAGTATTCCATTGTGGGTTTCTAAATGTTTAATAATGCTGTAGCAAGTACCCTTCCATATCTTACAGATTGGATATGTATGTAAGTAGTTTTTATGTTAATGAAATTAGCCATATCAATCAGGATGATTTGGGGGAAGTAAATCGGTTGAATATTTCTGCATCTTTTTTTTTTTTTTTTTTTTTTTTTTTTTTTTTTTTTTAGACAGAGCCTCAAGCTGTCCCCCTGGGTAGAGTGCCATGGCATTACAGCTCACAACAACCTCCAACTCCTGGGCTCAAGCGAGTCTCCTGCCTCCGCCTCCCAAGTAGCTGGGACCACAGGCGCCCGCCACAACGCCCGGCTATTTTTTGGTTGCAGCCG